CAAGCTTTGTCCTTTATCACACATCGATGGTCTTTTGCCTTAAGTGGGCGACTGTGATTTCTTAAGGGCATTAGGTGTCTGTATATTTGTGAATAAACAATGCCATTTTGAAAGTGGTCAAATGTTACATAATTGGGATTACACTTAACAGTAAAGTTAAGCACCTAATCGCCAGCACACAACGTCAGCTATTTAACCCACTCAGTAACTGCTGAGTGGAACTCGGACAGCTGGTAGTCAACATCACGTGTTTTGTGTACCTCTCTGACAAGTGTACCTTGGTACGGTTCTCATCGTCGAAAACTACGAATAGACAATGCCATTTAGTGGAAGCCGCGCCGGTTGAGTGGGTTAGAAGGCTGACGATGTGCGCTGGTGATTAGGTGCCTGTCTCTAAAAGCGTGGGTTCGAATCCTGACAAACGTACAAGAAACTGTCATCCTATATACATATGTTATGTCTACATATTCGATGTTGAGGGTGTACACCACCATGCATCCTAAACAAGTATCTGAATGAGAATAAATGTAATGAGTGCGTGAGTGAGTTAGGTTTTACGCAATATTCCAGCGGGATATATTTCACGATGGGGAAAATCAGAGATAGGTTTCACACATTGTACCCATTTGGGGAATCAAACCTGGGTCTTCGGCATGATGAACGAAAGCTTTAACCACTAGGCTACCCAACAACCCCAAATAATTGAATAAGTGTTAGTTAGTACACGTTTACAATCACATCGGCTATATTTCAGTCATATCGTGACTAAAACAGGTCATACTTAAATCTTTTATAACGTTATATTCTAAAATCTATTGCCAAAGGAGGGTAAAACAACTATAATATCATAATTAGAGATTTGAAAATTTGCATGTTTCTTCACATTATATACTATTTAAGGCTATATACTATTTACAAAATAAATATGGGCCAGGGATCACCAGCAACTGGAGGTAGAATACCTTACTAAGGACCATTTCTTGCCATTTCTTTTTTATTTAGACGTGGAAAACATCACACGTCAGTTTCACCTGAATGGCTCTCTGTAAGTACAACTTGACATTTAAACTTGATCAAATGAAAATAAATCAACAAAGGCAGATTAAATTCTTGTCCAGACGTATATGTCCGCGCCTGAATACTAACTCTACACATGAGCATTAATAGAGCACCACTTGAATCAAATGTCAAGTTTCAAAATTTGGATGAAAACAGTAAGCCATGTCCAAGCACACTGCAATAAACATGTAAAGTAAGTGCTGTAAACAATTTCTCAAAACATATATCCACATGCTCACGTGCATCCAAGTCCCCAAGCATGTTGGAGTGTACATTTTAATGTGAACTTACGTTTTCCGACTTGATACACAAGACCAGCCGTTCCCCTTAGTCGATTCTTTCGATAAGCATGAGTTGCTGACAACCAGTTCTTCATCTCTATAAGAACACCAATAGTCGTGTCAAAAAGATATATTGCTACTTGCAATTTTGACAAAGAACAAACCTAACAGACCATTTCGATGTATTCCAGAAGATTTTCCCATTTAATATTTTGTTGGTCATAAAGTATTCCATTCTGCTCATCACGAGTAAATGTCAGCAGCCATTTGTTGTTTTGGAAGTAGATTAGATGTTCTTTTTAGGGATATATTTAGATGTTTCTGATACATTTTATAGCCTTTGTCTTATTTGTACTATACAAGATCAATATCCAGATAAATCAGACACAGAAAGGTCTATCCGTCTGCAATGGCAATTCTTTACAGAAATTCTGTTGTCATACGAGCGTCGGTCAAATAGTAGTCGGCCTTACTATATTCTCGATGTGCAGTGTTTGAAAGCTTCCATTTTATTTTGAAGGAATCATTAGTAAAGCCATATCCAAAATTTCACATAAGTGGGTAATGTGGTTAACGATATATTAGTCAGCACAACACATTTAAGTATACTATTTCTAAAAGAATTGCAAAAAATAAAATCTTTGCAAAAATTATATTGCCATATGTTCCGCTGTTGTCTCTTTGTCAGATGTGAATTTAACGTTTGTCACAGTTATGGCAGCACATGCTCACCTTTTTCGACCCCCCTAGAATCATAACTGCATACTATGTTTATCGACTGGTAAGGTGTTGGGCAGTCTCATTATATTGTTTTACCATTCATTAGTTGATGACATTTTCGAGTGGGGCGTGACTGGTCCTTAGCAGACGCCAAATGTCAGAAGAGAACAAAACAACGGCGATTCGGTAATTGCTGAACTGTGTTTTAAGATTGATGATGCTTTGAAACGCCTCGACCACTGAGAGCGGCGTATTGGTGATTTACAGAACAGTCCGGCTGCTCCTGAGGGTCAACAACCAGACCGAGTGAGTGAGTGAGTTAATATTTAACGTCACATCGGCAATATTTCAGCCATATCGTGACGAGAACATTTGATATTGGAATGAAATATATGTAAATTATAAAAAATCTGCCGACGAAGGGCAGTAAAACAACTAGAACATCACAGATATACATGTAAAACTAGTAATAGAGTCTAAAACATTTTAACCATAGGGGACAACACAATATAAAAATAGGCTATAGATCACCAACAACTGAAAGTAGGTCACCATACTAGGGTCCATGGGGACTTACAGTACTTTTGCTACCTGCATGGACCCTAGTTGGATTTACACTATCCCTTCAGCCGCTGGTGATTGTAGGATAATTTAGCCGAAATCTAAATGAACAAAAATACTACGTTTAAAAACTTGGTATGTGAAAATTCTACTTTGAAAGTTTTGGGACTTACGTACCCTCTCAGGAGGACAATAATTTTACACTACTTCAACCCCCTTTGAGGGTACAGCCACTAACAATCTCAGTTACTAATCTAAACTACCAATCATTAAAATACATCTATCTACAGAACATGTTAATCAGAATTCATCAATGAAGTCAATTTCTTTTAAAAAACCAATAATTAAATGAGAATTAACAGAAGTAAAAAGATCCTTAAGTGTTTTTACACTGAAATATTTACCCCTTATGATGGAGAATTCAACACAGTCAAGCAGGATATGCTTGACCGTAACTCTCTCATCACAAGGGATACAAAACGGAGGATCTTCACCTTTTAGCAAGTATTTATGAGTATAACGCGTATGGCCAATGCGACATCGTCGCATAATGACCTCTTGAAATCTGGACTGGCAACCCAAGTAGGTATAACCGATGGTTGGTTTAATTGCATGTAATTTATTGATACCTACTTGGGCATCCCACTTCTTCTGCATAAGATCACGGATGTAAGTTCTAATGCAAGCTTTGTAATCAGAATAAGGAATAAGAAGCGGTGTCACAGATTTGTTGAGTGCTGCCTTAGCAGCAAGATCAGCCATTGTGTTCCCAGAAATGCCAACGTGGCTGGGTAACCAACAAAAGACGATGTCGCATTGGCCAGTAGCAAGTTCATTATATAATTCAATAATTTCTAATAAAAGTGGATGTTTACAAGAAAGATTTTTAATAGCCTGAAGACAAGAAAGAGAATCGGAAAAGATGATGTATTGCTCATATTTACGGTGTTTATTAATATATTTAAGAGCTGTTAAGATGGCGTTAGCTTCTGCTGTGAAAATAGAGCTGTTATTTGGTAATCGAGAAGATATTGTTCTGGATCCAATGACAGTGGCACATGCAACCGCGCCACCGTCCTTGGACCCATCTGTAAATAAAGATTTGTATGTATTATATTTAGTTTTTTAGCTGATTATATTCTTGTTTGTACTGTAATTCATTAGTTTCAGATTTCTTAAACTTTGTCAGAGTTAGGTCAACTTCAGGCCTCACCAGTTGCCAAGGAGGAGAAGAAAGAAGACGGGAAGGAGCTATATTTTCCAGCTCAATGCCGGCAGCAGATATGAAGGGCTTAATTCTGTGCCCAAGAGGCGGAACAAGAGAAGTTTTTTTTTGTTATATAAATCCTCATAGAAGGGATTGAAAACACAGTTAAATGCAGGGTTAGATTCGCTAGAATATAGTTTAGTAATGTATTGTAAAGATAATTTTATACGACGTTGTGTAAGAGAAGGCTCATCTGCTTCAACATAGAGACTATCAATGGGAGAGGTTCTAAAGGACCCAAGACAAAGTCTTAGGCCTTGGTGGTGGACAGAATCAAGTAGTTTTAGGTTGCTTTTGCAGGCTCCACCATATACGATGGAGCCATAATCAAGTTTCGAGCGGACCAATGATCGATATAGGTGGAGGAGGGTAGCTTGATCCCCTCCCCACTTAGAATTAGAAACAACTTTCAACAAGTCAAGTGCCTTCAGGCATTTAGTTTTAAGTGCTTTAATATGTGGTAGAAACGTTAAGTGTGAGTCAAAAATAATACCCAAGAACTTGGCCTCCTTCACAACTTTGATAGGAGTGCCATTTAGAGATAGTTCCGGGTCTTTATGCGGCTTATATTTTCTACAAAAGTGTAGACAATTAGTTTTGGACTTGGAAAATTTAAAACCGTTTTCAAGACACCATTTATGTATTTTATTTAAACACAGCTGCAGTTGCCGTTCAATAGTATGCATATTTTTACCACGACAAGAAATATTAAAATCATCCACAAAAAGCGATCCATCAATGGAATCGTTTAAAACCTTGGATAAACTGTTTATCTTGATACTAAATAAAGTGACAGACAAAATACTGCCTTGAGGGACACCCTGATCCTGATTGTAATGGTCAGACAGGGTTGAACCCACTCGGACTTGAAATTGTCTGTCTTTTAAAAACCGTGATATAAAAAGAGGCAAACGGCCTCTCAAACCAAAGTCATGTAAATCCTTCAAAATGCCATGCTTCCAGGTCGTATCATAAGCTTTCTCAAGATCAAAGAAAATTGAGACAGCATGTTGTTTATTTACTATAGCATTCTTAACAAAGGATTCTAAACGTACCAAATGATCAATGGTACTACGATTTTTCCTGAAACCACATTGAATATCTGTTATAAGGTTATTGGTTTCAAGATACCAAGTTAATCTATTATTCACCATACGTTCCATGGTTTTGCAAACACAGCTAGTTAGAGAGATCGGTCTGTAATTAGACGGATCTGTATGATCCTTGCCAGGTTTTGGTATTGGGACTACAATGGCATTACGCCATGAAGGAGGAAATTCTCCAGACGTCCATATTTTGTCAAAGATATCTAAAAGTGTCATCAGACACGGTTCCGGTAAGTGTTTCAGTAGCTGGTAATGTATATTGTCATCACCCGCTGCAGTGTCATGAGCTTGCCCAAGAGCAGTATGTAGCTCATGTAATGAAAACACTTCATTATAATCTTCACCGTTATGCGAGTCAAAATTAAGTTTCGTCTTTTCCTGTTGTTTCTGATATCTCTGAAACTCAGGGACATAATTTGCCGATGATGAATTTTTGGCAAGAGTTTCGCCAATTTTATTTGCAATGTTGCATTTGTCAGTTATTACATTGTCACCATCTTTAAGATGATGAACAGTAGATTTGGAACCTTTGCCTTTTATTCTCTGAACCATGTTCCACACCTTAGACATTGGCGTGCGTGAATTAATATTGGAGACATATTTCCTCCAAGATTGTCGTTTGTTTTGTTTGAAGGTACGACGCGCCTTTGCATTGAGTATTTTGAATTTATTTAAATTATGGACCGTTGGATGGTGGCGGAAATAATGTTCTGCCTTCTTCCTCGCCTTTCTGGCTTGTCTACAGTCTGTATTAAACCATGGTTTCCGTACATGTGGAGTTGTAGAGGATTTCGGTATACACTCGTCAGCTATTTCATTTAAAACGTCAGCAAAAATCTGAATGGGATCAGTTATATCACTGAAACATTCAGGTCGCAATTTAGATTTACATAAAGTTTGATATAAAGACCAGTTCGCCTTCGAAAAGTTCCATCTTGTATACGAAGGAGAATCAGATGGAGTTATTTCTGAAAGTATAGTTGGGAAGTGGTCACTTCCACAAAGGTCATTATGAACAGACCAATCAAATTCATTCAGGAGGGTAGAATCTGCAAGAGACAAATCTAGAGAAGAATACGTGCCAGTTGCAGGATGCAGATAGGTGCTTGAATCATCATTAAATATGCACAGGTCATTATTGGAAATGAAATCTTCAATTATTTTGCCTTTAGTATTAGTGTTAGTACTGCCCCAGAGTGGGTTGTGACCGTTTAGGTCACCCATAATAACACATGGCTTTGGGAGTTGATCATAGAGTGATTGAAGATCAGTCAGCTGAAGGTTCGATGAAGGCGGAATATACAGAGAGCACAATGTAAATGCTACACCCAGAGTAAGTCGCACTGCAACAGCTTGGAGAGTAGTATTAAGAGTAACAGGGCTATGAATAACATTCTGTCGTATAAGGATAGTAGAACCTCCAGTAGCTCTATCACCTGGAGGGGAAAAATAATTATAGTCTTCAAACTGGCGTAAGTCAAAATGATCTGTTTGTTTCAGATATGTCTCTTGCAGACAGAACGCTGATGGTGTTAAATCTTGGACAATTAGCTGTAGTTCATTAAAATTTGTCCGGAGTCCCCTACAGTTCCACTGCACGATATTGGTATATAAACCTATCTTTTAGGCGGATTAATTGGGGATCTACCCCGCACTGTTTTCGAGGGCGACAAGCTATGTGCCCTAGAATGGACGTTTTCGGACACGTCCATGTCCTCAAGTGATCCGTATTTGTTATATAACTGAATTCTATTTTCCGACCCTTTTGGGGCTCTGCCACTTTGTTTTTTGAAAGCATCAAGCTTCTGCTTATGTTTGCTTTTAGCATTTTGCTGAGTATCAGATGACGATTGAGATTGTGAACGTGACTGAGTGAGTGACTTGTGATCTGAAGATGACTCTGCCTGCCTTTCAGATGTACTAGGAAGTGATTCCGTGGTTTGAGATGATATAGCAGGATATAAACACTGTGGACTGTCACTTTTGACCCAAGTCAAGTTTGTTTGACAGCTTGTGGATGATGTAGATACTTTAGGGCTTGATTCAGTTGGTGTTTTGGTTATTGAAGCATAACTTTCTGTAAGTTCAGAGCTCTTTACAAGTTTTTGGCATCAGAAAAACTGATGTTCTGGGTGAATTTGATCTTGTTGATCTGCATATGCTCTTTCCAAATCGGACACACTTTTGAGAAAGATGAATGTTCTCCTGAACAGTTAGTGCATTTTTTTAAAGGTACTTGTACAATCTTCAGTTGTGTGTGTCTTCTCACCACAGTGAGCACACACAACAGACAATGTACAAGTATTTACACCATGTCCATACTTCTGGCATTTAAAGCATCTCAGCGGATTAGGAATGTAGGTGTCAACATTGATATTGCAATAACCTGCTTTCAGTGATTTGGGAGCAGTGGGTGACGAAAAGGAAAACAGATAAGTATTTGTCTGAACAGTTTCATTGTTTTTACGGATTGAAAAGCGTTTTACGTAGAGTACACCTTGATCTTTCATTTCAGAAACGATGTCAAGTTCTGACATGTCAGAAAACAACCGATCACGATCTCTGATGATACCTTTGCTTGTGTTTAATGTCCTGTGAGCAGATACAACGACCGGAATGCCGACAAACGATTCAGTAGTCAATAGATTGGCTGATTGATGCCGTTTTCCCGCACTCAACCAGTAACGCACCTGAACGTAACCGTTTAATGTTCTTAACTTCGCCGGCAATACCTTGAATACCCTTGGAAACCGCGAAAGGGTTCAACTTTAATGGTGTTTTGTCGAGAGTTTCGATCACAAGAAAGCGTGGCCAAAAGTCAATTGATTTGGACGGTCTAAGGTCATCATCATCAGAATCATTTTCAAGAGGACGTTTTGTTTTTTTGGTAGGGGTTTCATAAGCCATGGTTAGTGTAGAGATTTCATCATCCGAGCTCCCCACCCACCACGGAGTATCACAAGGACAATGCTGTATACAAGTGGATCTCCGACTTGCAGCACCAAGGATACCCGGATGATATACTCAAGCAGAAAGATTAAACAAGTAATCAATCTACCAGATTGGCCCATGAGCCATCGCCTTCTGGGCATAAGACTCTAGGCAATATAAATTGTACATATTTCAAATTCAACTGATATTTTATAAACGAAATGAGTCAAGACCTAAAGTCAAAAACGTAATACATAATATAATTTTTGTGGAGATACAATTTAATGCACAGGGCTCGACATGACCGGCCGATTGGTAGAACCGGGCCCATTCTACCACCCGTCTAGGTGAAGTTAGGGCCGAAGTGGTGTGTTGGGCAAAGGAACACTGTTCCTGGAACCAGTGCCCTCAACCACCAGAATCCCTTCCTCCACCGACACAGGGGCGCAACCCACGGCCAACAGGTTGGTGGACCAAAATATCCCCCCCGGGTCCACAACGGGGGGTTGAAAGGCGCTTAGCGTGACCCAGCACCCACCACGAGGAGGTGGCCCTTCATGGGTGCCTCTAAGGTCGATTATGGATACACCATTTTTGTGGAGCCTGCAGTAGCGATCGTCAAGCTCTTAGACTTTGTTTTTGATCTTTGAATGTATCGACGATTGACAGTCTGTATGTGGAGGCTGACGAGTCATCTCTTAAACTCTGCTGGTTAAAATGTTCCTTACAGAATATGACTATATTGTAATGTGTCATATCCAGCGTACAGCTGCTCTTTCAGTCCTCGTTATGAAGATACGTACAATATCCCGCTTCTAGGCAGAAGGACTGAACATGCGATTTCTGCTGCTAATATCGACCTTGAAATATATTTCATTTCCGCCATCTCATCCTAGGCAATCAATGAAACCACAGGTGGAACTTAAATTAACAAAACTTGAAATTTGAAAGCAAACGGCTAATCAGCATATAACAATACCATCAATTAAGAAACACTTACGAAATCTATGAAGCATGCAACTTTATCACAGCAACAATAACTTAGTTTCCGTTCTTGCGGAAACCTAATGGATACTGGGTAATGTAGGTTTCCGCTAGATTTCAGTGTGCGGAAACAGACAATGCGAGTTTCCGCATAGTTTACAAAACTGAAACTAACAAATCTAGGTTTCCGTCAGGTTTCTACAACTGAAACTATCATTATGCGTTTCCATTTAGTTTCAGTTCGCTGAAACATTCATAGCACAATGACTTAGTTTCCGTTATTGCGGAAACCTATTGGATACTGGGTAATGTAGGTTTCTGTTGGTTTCAGCTTAGATGAAATGGCAAACTTAGCTTTGTGCTGTTCCATTGGGGAACAATATTTACTTACTGTTACATTTGCAAGATAATTTCTATTTCTGGATAACAACTTCTTGTTTATTGCACAGAGTGACGTATCGATGTAGTTACTTACACCGTTATCAAGCTAGGAGTTACGTTGTATGCTTCATCTTTTACTCAACCACTTCTAAAATGTCGATTCAACAAAACAGTTATAGGTGATCCAAGGAGGGGTGCGCTGGTCATTGGATCCAAAACAATATTGTTTACATTTCCAGATTAAAGCTCTATTTCCACAGCTGCTCTTAAATATATCAAAAGACTGTCTAAATACAAACAATACATACTATTTTCAGACTCTCCTTTGTGTTTTGGGCCATACAGTGTTTAACAGGCATCCAATGTAAGCCGAAATTCACGAACTGCAAATGGTCTTGCCACTGGCCAATATAACATCGTCTTTTGTTGGTTGCCCGGTCATGTTGGAATCACTCGTAACACAATGACAGCTTCTGCTACTAAAGCACCACTCAACAAATGTTTGACACCAGATCCAACACCTCACAATAATAATAATAATAATAATAATAAGCTTGTCATAAGAAGTTACACCAGGGATCTAATGCAAAACAAGACACCTAAATTTGGCGTTAATAAATTACATACAATACACTTACTTCTCTGTCAGCCCATATTATAGAAGTCATTTCAAGACGAAGGCATATTGTCCACGACAAATATACTCAAGACTGTTTT